GGTAGACAACGAATCTGCCTTGTCTTCGTTCTTGCGGCTTCGAATGCACTTGCGGTTTGTTTATATTGTCCTTTGGCATTCATTTTGGATATAAGAATAGATCTTTGCGAACGCCGTGAGCCGTTTCGATTGGCTGAAAACGTCTAGACGGAGAAAGGGTCAACGTTAGCTGCACTTTATCTTGCGACAAAGTGGATTCGGGTCACATGGAGTCAAATGGAAGCGAAAGAACAAAGTGTATGCAAATCTGTCTATTACCTATCATTCCCTAACAAAGTGGCTGACAGGGCTAGTTGGTTTAGCATACTTGAAGTTTAACAGCGCCAAAAAAATACACGGTGGACAGGAAAAGGACAGGACAAGCGCTTGTCTCGTCCTTTTCCTGTGTGCCATGTATTTTTCGCGCTGTTAAACCTCAGCTATCATTCCCGAGTTAGCTGAAGCTCCATGTGTTTCAGCAGCTTCCATGTACACTAGCCCATGAGCTCCCACTAGGGTATTATCAGAAAACTCTATGGCCTAGCGCACCCCGCATGTTCCTATTGCTTGGTGGCTTCACCGATACCATGGTGCGCACACAGACCCAGAGTTACTAATCGCAAACAAATAAATTATTAAACGCCACCGGAAAACAATATCACTCACACGAGCTGCTGTGACTGTTCAAACTGTAACGGCGCTCCACAGTAGCTGCGCATGCGCTGCGTTAGCGGGGTGCCTACCCGCCGTTCAGACTTCGCAGTGTGCAGCACAGTCAAGTACCAATCAGCCATGAGAACTCGCATTCACCGGCGATGTTTGCTTTCACCCATGCTTTCACATTTTCAATTTTTTTAGAGTGATGCAACGGTGTTGGTTTGGGTTCGCGTAACCAAAGGTCACTGCGATTTTCATATGGCTAAACGACCAAAATTGAACTCTAGGAAATTGTGGCGATTTTGTGTGGACGATTGCCACCTCAAGAACATCATGAAGAAACACACCTATCCTTGGCCGTGAATGGACAATGCCCTTATTTGTCTGTACGATGCCGCATACTTTTCTCCCATTGCCGCATACCAAATAGACCACGAGAAGATGGATTTCGTAACACCTGAGGGCCTATACCACCTCAAGGTCATGCCTTTTGGTTTATGTTACCGACCACCACGCTCTTTGCTGGCTCACCTCCCTGAAAGATGCCACAGGTCATCTTGTTCACTGGGCACTCCGCCTCCAAAAGCATTCTTACACCGTAGTGTATAAGTCTGGAATATTGCACAAAGATGCGGATTGCCTGTCACGCTACCCTGCGGGCGACTGGGACTTTACGAGCACTGACTGCGTTGACTGCGTCCTTTCCATCTCCCAACTGCTCCACCTCAGCGGCGAGCAGCGTCACGACCACAGGCACTTAAGTCGCCTAATACAGCGGCTCGAATCTTCACCATACGATGCTTCTGTTCGCTTGTTTACCTTGAGGAACCGCACCTTATTTCGCCATAATTTGTGATTCGCAGGTCACGACCTACTTATGGTCATACCAAATCACTTGCTCTCCACAGTCCTACGCGAGCTCCATGACGCGGCAATCGCGGGTCACCTTGACATCTCTCGAAGATATAACCGTGCGCGCCACAGCTTCTATTCGCCTGGCCTTGCGCGCTCTGGACGCCGTTATGTCAACGTGGATGTAAAAACAGCGTAAATGTACAGACACAGACACAGTGCCTTGTCGTTTCTTTGTACGTCTGTGTCTATCTATTTGCGCTGCTTCTACATCCAAGTATAAACCACCAATTAGCCCAACTTTCGCTTCTACTGTTATGTCAGCGCCTGCGAAGTTGTCCAGCGCCGCAAGAAGCCGTCGGGAGCTCATCGACTTCCCGTCGGAGCCCTTCTTTTGTGTCGGTTTGGACATTCTCGGCCCCTTACCAACATGCGCCTCCTGAAACAAGTTGGCCGCGATTGGTACAGATAACGCGAACCGCTATGCAGTTGCACAAACAATTCCGATAAGCTACAGACGTCGCATATTTGCTACTACGCGATCTCAGTTTAGTGCACGTAGCCCCGCGTCAACTACTGACAGACCAAGGTCATACGTTCCTGTCTAAACTGGGCGATAGTCTGCTTTCCTACTCTACCCCAAAATAAGCACATAAGCTCGTACCAGCCCCAGACAAACGGGCTTGCACAACTCTTGAAGTGGCCCTGAAGCACTTTTTCAAATAACCATGGAAAGGATTCACTCAATGAGCTTATGGCATCACAAATTAAACTCCGCAAAAATTTTAAGAATACATACAGTATGAGCAGACTTATAAAGACTTGTCGAAGGCTGCAATAACATCCTCTCTTCAGCAATTGTCGTGATTAGCAACACTTCCTGCCAACTGTCGCTCGCATGCAGAGACATTTCGGCCCAAAAGCAGCGCTACCGTCGACATTTTCGAGTCAAGGCGGGATGTCTACGTGAGTAAATCTTTTTTTTTTCATGTCATCTTTAAAACGCTCGTAGTGAGGGAAGATGGAGAAATCAACACATCCGGGGTGCAATCGTGCATTATACCAAAGGTATTTCATCACGTGAGAGCTGGCTGTAAAAGTGAACTGAAGCGAATATTGGAACTGGCGTGTAGAGTTTAGTTTTTGAATCAGGACTCAGAAAAGATAATTTGGTCCACCCTTGATTATAATGGAGTCTTACTCCCTCAACTGGACCCACGGCTGGCTGCTTTTGGGAGCCGACTGGCTTCATGGTTGGGATCCTTATAGAGTGTGCATATAAATAATTTACCAGTCAACTATGAGCGAAGTGTCTGTTAAAGCACAAAACATCAGACTTTTTTTCATGCTGATATTAGAAAAAAATACAAACAATCGTTACCCTTCATCGAAACCGACGCCTGACCAAAAACGCCCATCTTCTTCGCATAACCTTTGAAATAGAGAGGCAACAGCGCATAGGTTGGCAAAACTTGTGGAGCTCATCGGTGCTCAATCTGAGTCTGAGTGAGTCCGGGTGATTCGACTCATTAGTGGGTTCACCGACCTATGTACTGGCAGATGCAAAAGGAGAGGAGAAATTTTTCGGGAGTCATACGCTGGGATTTCCGTAAGACTTATAACTACCTGATGCATGTGTAGTACACGTAGGTTTCGTTTAGGTACCACAGAGATGTGGTTATAAAAGGGAAAATAGGAGAAAAGTGAGCCGCGTAACTGTCTGCATCTGGGTGCGACACCTCAAGAGTAGCTCACAAGGGATGGGGTGAGGAGGGATTAAAAGGATAGGATTAAAAGTTTAGAGAGAGAGAGATATGCACTGAGACAGCGAGCGAGGACATATCGAGGGATTGGAGAGATAGGAAAGATGGAAACATGGTCACAGGAGTCCGAGGACAGGGCACCACTTGCGAGAGCTCTTGTCGGCATCAGCAGATGGCGTAGAGCAAGTCCAGTAGGTCAGAGCTACACTGTCGTCGGAGATCGGCGTCAGGAGATGACGTAGGGCCAGCCCAGTCGGCCAGAGCTACGCGGACGTCGGAGATTGCGAGGGCACAGCTGGTCGGCACAGAATCCAGCGAGCGAGACAAAACCTCCACTTACGTAATAAAGTATTCTTCCAACTTGAAAAAGAAATAGATTCAAAGTTTATAACCACCCGCATTGGGGTTTTAAAACCCACGGCAAAGTTGCTGATTCTAATCCCAGCCGCACTGGGTGCATTCTAATCGAAGTGGGATGATGAAATTTGTTGAAAGGGTCGTTCCTGAAGGTCAACGTGTTCTGTACGTAGATGTTATAACTTTATTGCATGAGAGAGGAGACAGGGATTTCCTTTTTGAGGCCATGTATTTCACCTGGGAATACTGCCTTTCGTAATGCCAGCGCGCGCGAGAGAGAAACACGAGCCCAGTCGCTACGTGATGGGAAAGACATGCACGATGCCCTTGAAACCTCTTTCTCTACCAAACATAACGACAGAAGAAATTTATAGTAATTAAGTCGATGACAGTGAAACACCACATAGAAATTCAAGAACAATATAAGTATATCAGTATGTCAATATCAAGCTAAACGCTTATGCAACTCAACACTTCAGTGCAAGAAACCGACCCATTGCTCTAACGCCATACGTATTATTGCTGCGATGTTTACGAGTGTTTGAGTATGTCCTACTTCGAAAGAGCACTATCACTCAGGATGGGGTATATTGATATTTTATGTAAATATCCCAGCAGATGAAATTATGCAGAAAGGCAATGATGTGAAATATTGTTGAGTAGGCGTTGTAAAAGTGGCACATCAGTTTCCGAAATTTAGTGATTTTGCAGAAATAAAAAAAGTATGATAATAAATATAAAATCTGAATCTGCATTTACCCTGTTTTCATGCAATATTTGTAATGCATCAAGTAGTGTCAAAATCAGTGAAGAGGAGGCTCAACCAATCCTCTTTCTTATAACCATCTTCGCGTAACAATAGGGATGAACATAAACCGTTTGCTTTAAATCTCTTTCTTCTTCACTTTGCCCTGAAAGGAGATTATGTGGGGTGTTTTCTATGTTTCTTTCACGAGAAAAGAAACTACGAAAAAGTATGTCAGACTAGAAAAGCGAAACGTGAAGCATGTGACTTGAGAAACGTGAAGCTTCTGCTACGACTTTCGCCCCGCTATGATGGTCTAGTGGCTAAGGTACTCGGCTGCTGACCCGCAGGTCGCGGGATCGAATCCCGGCTGCGGCAGCTGCATTTCTTATGGAGGCGGAAGTGTTGTAGGTCCGTGTGCTCAGATTTGGGTGCACGTAAAAGAACCGCAGGTAGTCGAAATTTCCGGAGCCTTCCACTACGGCGTCTCTCATATTCACATGGTGCTTTTGGGATGGTAAACCTCACATATCAATCAATCGACTTTCGCCCAAAATAAAGAAAGAAAAAGCACGGCATATTACAGTTTGAAATGTGTCACGTAGTGGTAAAGTGTCGGAGTAACATAGGAACGCGTCAGTTCTTACCTGAAACGGCGAGATCTGAAGAGCAAATGCTGAAGGCTTTTCCTTTGTTGCTCGCTCCGCAATATGTCTGACTTGAGATCACAACCTCCACTTTTTGGCAAACGGTTTCGTTATCGAGTGGCACGAACAACGTTTCACCACATCCGTGAAACCCGCGCGAAAACGATAATTAGGTGCGCGTGGCGCAACTATATTGGCGTCCTTGGAGAAACCGGCACGCCGTGAATGACAGGGGATGGGCACTCGTTCTTTCCTTTTCCTTCATCGACTGCGTTCGCGCTGTCGGGCAGATAAAGAGCACGGGGGCTGACAGACTGGGCCGTCGTGAAGTGCATGAAGTGGGGTGTCTGGGGCCTGCGACAACGCCTAGCCGAGGGAGCACCCTTTATGTGCCTTCGTTCCGCACGTTGTTGCCGGCTTTTGAGCAAGAGGCAAGATAAGTAGGAAGACCGATGACGACATAAATGACGTGAGTCGCGCTCAGCCTTGCTTGCAGGCACCGTCGTTTGAAACCCACCGTTAGCTTTTGGCGCATCGTAAACATACAACAAAAGAGCAAACGAAAGGTCTCAGAAGGTCATAATTTAGTTTCCAGAGAAAAATAAATGAGAAAAAGAATAAAACAGTAGCGAAATGAAAGGCCGGAAGGAGCAAACCAGTTCAATGTTACCGGTATGGCCGCTTTATAGCAGCTGCCACGTGCCTTAATACAGAGGCATACTAGGCTTGCGCTTGCGTTGTAGCAGTGTACTTTATGTCATTGCGCCTGGTTACGAATTTCAATAAAGAAATGACAATTTAGAAAATGCAGTCGACGTCATATTAGCAGCTATGCGCTCTTAAAGGTATGCCTCGTTCAATTTTCAATGCCAAGCATTTCTTGTTGAGGTCAGTTTGACCACATTTTTCAATCAATCAATCAATCTATCTATCTATCTATCTATCTATCTATCTATCTATCTATCTATCTATCTATCTATCTATCTATCTATCTATCTATCTATCTATCTATCTGTCTGTCTGTCTGTCTGTCTGTCTGTCTGTCTGTCTGTCTGTCTGTCTGTCTGTCTGTCTGTCTGTCTGTCTGTCTGTCTGTCTGTCTGTCTGTCTGGCTGTCTGTCTGTCTGTCTGTCTGTCTGTCTGTCTGTCTGTCTGTTAAAGCCGCCCACGACTTTAAGCTCCCCTGGCCGTTTGGACAATTGTATCTGTACCAAAATTGGTATTGCATAACACGACTGTATGACGAGGATAAGTGACTAGTCATAACATAAAAATCATCACATTAGTGTCATAAGTGTCATGATTTACATGTCATGGTGTTGCTGCTCCTGCAGTGGATTCGTTCACATGATCTATCGCAAAGCTGGTATGGTATGACATGACCACATGGCGAAGATAAGTCACAGGCTCTTACCTGGAAACTACGACATGCGTGTCATGTATGAACATGACTACATGCCACGCTCATGATACGCTCGCGGTCATTTCGCTGGCGTCACATATACCAAATTTGGTATCACGTGACGTTAATGAATGATGAAGGTATATGACTGGTGCAAGCGTGATATTCATGACAGACTGGTCATGTAAGAAAATGACCACATGCCACGCTGATGATGCACTCGCAGTCGTTTTGCTAGCTTCATATTTAACAAATTTGGTATATGACTGGTGAAAACTTGATAATCATGACATGCGTGTGAGGACATGATTACGTGCCACGCTCATGTTGCGCTCGCCTTCGTTTCGCAGGCTTGACGTACACCATATTTGGTATTACGTGACGTGAATGAATGACGAAAGTACGTCATTGGTTCAAACATGATAAGCACGATATGTGTGTCATGTAGGAACATGAGTGCTTGCCATGCCCAAGATGCGCTTGCGGCCACTCGGCTAGCTTCGTATATACCAAATTTAGTATTATGGGACGTGAACGGACGACAAAGGTATATGACACGTCCAAAGATGATAATAATTACATGCGTGTCATGTAAACGATGACTGCATGCTACGCTCAAATAGTGTGCTCGCGGTCGCTTCCCTATAGCTTCGCATATACCAAATTTAGTATTTCGTAACGTGATCGGACGGCGAACACTAATTTCAGCTGCAAACATGATAATCATGACATGAAAGTCATGTACGGCATAATATATGTCCGCCTCGAAACATTGTGCTGATTTTATTGTGACAGTTCAACATTCCTCCTTACTTCGTGCTTCGTATATCATCGATTCCTACTGTACGTAAGATCTTCCAACTTTTTTCATTGCTATGATCACCTTGCTGATGTTTTTTTTATCAAACGATGCTTATTTCACCCCCTAGACTACAATTTTATCCTTCGTGTGTACCATCGTATCACATGTTGCTGCCTTGGTGCTGTCAGCGACATGATGCTCGATTTACAGCGTCCCATGCTCAAGCTGTTATCGTTGTCCAGCGTGATTGTATTCAGGAAAACACAGCTGCGGCTTTTACTTGCCTGATTCTCGCAATTAAATTGATCTCACTCGTCTCAATCACTCGTGTATCTGCAGCACGGATTCTAGCTGGGCTGGCTTGCTCTACTTTTTCTGACATTGGGCTGATGTTTGTTTGAAAGAACTTGAAAAAATATGACCGTGGTTTTTGAAGCAGTTTTCGAATTGACTAGATATTATTACTTGAGAAATTCGTAAATCGAAAACGGACGAAGCTTGCCCTGAACCACGAAAAGCGTGACACCGCGAAACAGGACGATTCTGAAGGCAGTTGCTTGAGGGTTGTTTACATAAGGCTTAGCGAGGTGAGGAAAGTTGTTTTTAAGTGGCTTCTAAGTCGTTGCTAGCCTTTAGCTAGGTGACTCTTGGTTGCCTCTACGTTGGTTCTCAAGGCAGAGAGGTTCAAGTTGAGCTACGGAAAGTCACAGCCATGACACGGATTTCTAACTCCAGAGACAGAATCTCGCGCTGAAGGCAACCGTTCGCACGTATCGTATACATCTAAATGTAGGTTGTCGATGACGTATTCTTTCAATCGCTTCGGGATCTTTCCACAGCCTTTCCCGTTTCTTAGAGCATCGGGCCAGTGCCTCATAGGGGGGAGGGGGGGGAGTTGAACTGAGTGGTTGCTTCGCCTATCACATTGGGCCACTAGTGAGAAGCCAGAATAATTTTCTGAGGCACACACCCGTTTATGACGGTGATAGTTTCCTGACAGGCCACACAAAGTTTTGTGGCATTCACCCGTTTTTTGGGATAACTGTTGCTTTCCTCACTTTAGATTGACCACTAGTCACTATAGCGGGAGGTACCCAAGTACCCAATTTGTGTGGCACATAGCTGATATGCCAGACAGGTGAGGCCGCAGAAATTAGGGCTACTTTAAACGGCTTCGCTGTTTAACGGTCACACGTTACCGCGTCACCTTTTTATAGTTCTCACCTTGTTATTGTAAGTACTTGACGAATTCTGTCAAGCCAGACATTACTGTTGTCACCGTGGTCACTTTACATGAGGCTTATGTACGTTGATGACGATGACAAAAAATAGGTTGATGTAATAAATAGTTTTTGTAGACTATAAGTACGAATATCTTAAGTTACTTTCACTTACTTGCTTTTTTGTTTTCGTGTTTCTTTAGTAATGTCAGATCAGTTCTCATGAATTGATAAAATGAATGAAAAAGCACAAAACGCATGATCTGGGGTCCCTCGAAACAAGACTCATGCGAAGCTAAGCCTTGAAACCAGAGACTCAACATAATCATACGTATACGATTCTCTGTGCGATGCAACAACAACAACAAAAAAAAACCACCCGTAATTTTAGTGGAGCTCGTAAAGGCTATTTTGTTAATTTCAGAGGAGCTTGTTAAAGCTTTCCTGTTTAATAAAAAAAGAACTTCAAGTTTTGTCGCATTGGTGACCGAAGCAATGAATTCGATATCAACAAATGCAAGGTTTTACGAAGTAAGCCTAGCAGTAAACTCCATAAGGATTCCAATGTGGCTTAAAACATGGCTTGAGCGAAGTGGTTTTCGTGTTCTCACTTCAAGCTAAGTAAGCGCATACAAGACACAGCACGTGCTAAGGTATCAGCCATCTACGGCTCTGTTCAGACAGAAGGCCCTTTTCTTCAGTGCATCTCCTTCGCCCTCTCAGCATCCTTTCCTACTCCGTTGCGTTGCCGGACGGAGACGGACGTCAGTTCATATCTGCTTGAGCTGCAGTGCCGTTGCCCCGCCGCGGTGGTCTAGTGGCTAAGGTACACGGCTGCTGACCCGCATGGCGCGGGTTCGAATCCCGGCTGTGGCGGCTGCATTTCCGATGGAGGCGGAAATGTTGTAGGCCCGTGTGCTCAGATTTGGGCGCACGTTAAAGAACCCCAGGTGGTCGAAATTTCCGGAGCCCTCCACTACGGCGTCTCTCATAATCATGAAGTGGTTTTGGGACGTTAAACACCACATATCAATCAGCTGCAGTGCCCGTCTGCATGCTTCACAAACTTTCACTCACACGTAAAACGTACGACGCACTTGGCGATGTTATCAATTTAAGCTTCATGCGGAACTTCGGAAATGACGGTGGTGGTGGCGGCGACGTTGATAAACTTACCGATGGTTACTCCGCCGTCTATCGAGAATTCCGGGATAAGGATACGTTGGGTTTTACCTTACAAGACCACGATATTATAATGAAAGACGCGGTGTTGGAGGACTACGGCAACGTGGCCCACCGGATGTTCTTAACGGGCACTGGCATCGCACAATACAGGGCGACGACCTCTACCATTCCGCCTCCATTGAAATCGTACCGCCGCGACTGGGGTCGAACCCACAACCTTTGGGTCAGCAGCCGATTACCCTAGCCTCTGATACACCGACGCAGACAGTGCGGCTGCTTAGTAGGTGTTTTGACGTTGCGATAATTTGAGCAAGTGCGAATTCATTAAGGCGACGCGGCATGGCATGAATGGTCGGATTGTGGGAAGCCAGGGCTGCTCAGGTGGTGCACCTACCCTTCCTCCATTCACGCCTAATATTTTCACAATGTGTTGCCCTCTTCGAGATCTCGAAGTAGCGCCCTCTCGCGTGTGACGTCACTTTGTGGACTCCGATCCCAACCATGCTGCAGCAGCCGCTGCTCCTGTGCGCGGGTCGTCTGTTTCAGGCGGTAACTTTGTCAAAAGTCGAACGAACAGCTTCAAGGGAGTCAGCTAACGCCCACAACGAATGTTTTCGAGTGCAACTATGAATTTGTTTCAGTTGCAACCCAATCGACAGGGCCAAGAAAACCTCCCAGGTGGCCGATAAGTGGGCCGACCGCATTGCTGGTAAGAAAGTGAAACCATGTGCGAGTGTTCTCGCTTGTCGTTCGCAGCTTCCATCGAGCGATACTGATTAGTTCCAGTGC